GAATCTCGAGGCAGAAGTCCAGGTACCACTTTTCTATGTGGTAGTAGTAAACCTGAACTGCAAGTCAGATACCTTGGGAATAAACAACCTCATGAAAGCCTCACAAATCCCAGCCTTTAAAGTGACTGCACACATCCCAGAGGGTCGATGACTGTATAATAGGATGACGACTGATTCTCATCCTTCTTCCTCAGTGAGAGACTTAATGCAGGGTCTTTAGCTGCTGTTGGCAAAACCCTTGACATGAGATCAGGTCTGTGGCTAATACATGTAAAACTACAATTGACCCAATCAGGCCTTTGTACAACAACCTTTTTAATGTCTGTCTCAGAAAATCTCTGGAAGATTCATCATTGTCCCCAGGTGCCAGCCTGACTTTCAGCTTCTAAATAAGAGACTTCATTCTCTTTCCCTACTACTGACATTTTCTCATTTATGTTTTTATATTTTTCCCTTTGTTTCGTGACTGGGTACACTTTCCTTCTCTCTATACATGTATCCCTATGCAGCCAAGGTGAGCCAAGTACAAGACCTACCATAATGTGCTCCTTGTTAGGCCCCCAGGATAGGCCCCCAGTGTATTTTGAGAAAGGAGGTCATAAGACCACACCAAGAGAAGCTGGTCATTTAAGGAGGCTTAGCCTTCATCACAAGAGGCAGCATGGAATAGTATATAGTACATACATGGACTTGAAGACAGCGTGATCCAGGCAGTGAAGTCCAGCCTGGGACATATACTAGCTATATGACCCAGGCTAAGTCTTTCAACAAACTCTCAGTGCCCTTAGGTAAATGTAACACTATGAATTTTAGAGCACTTACTCATTTACATTGCTGGAGAAGAATATTCTCAACTGGAGTTCCTTCCATGTATGAAATCATAGATTCCCCCCAACTCCCCCTAAGCCAGCTAGCATTTATATAATATTTTAAGGTTGGTCCAGTGCTTACAAATTTGATCCTCACAACAACTTTGAAAAGTAGGAACTATTGTTATCCCCATTTTATAGATGAGGAAATTCAGGCAGTAGAGGTCAAGTGACTTGCCCAGGGTCACATAGTTAGTAAGTGTCAAGTCGAAGATTTGAACTCATGTCTTCCTAACTGTAGGTACTGTCCACTCTCCACTCTGCCATCTAAATATCACAGTTTTTTATCAAGGTTTTGGTGGTGAGGTTTGGAATAATCTCAATAAGGCAGATTCTAGACTAGAGTAGGGGTTCTTAATCAAGCATCCATGAATAGATTTCTTGGGGTCTATGAACTTGGATGGGAGAAAAAATTACATTTTTATTTTCACTAACTTTTAACTGAAATTATTTCCTTCAATTGTGAATTTTAAAAAATTAGCCTGGGAAGAGATAGGCTTCCTAAAACTGTCAAAGAAAAAAAAACTGTCTAAGAGCTCCACGACACACGTACAATAAAGGTTAAAAACCCTTGTCATCCTAGACGGCTTGTCTCAGATTTCGTGTAGTATGTCAGCATTTCCTCTGTGAAGCCCCATGAATTAGGTAGGATATCCCCTAATGGTTTGAAAAGACCATAGGATCATAACTCTAGAGCTGGAACAGACCTCAGAGGTCAGCTGGTCCAAACTTCCCATTTTTACAGATGGGGAAATTGAGGCCTAGGAAAGTTGTATCTTGGTTGATATCTCAGAAGTAGTAAATATCAAAGGCACAATTTGAATCCCATTCCTCAACAGTATAATGGAATTCCTTAACTTTGGAGGCCCTTTATGTCACATCCCTCCAATCCCAATAACATCATCTACTTGCTCTCTGCTTTAGTGGAGAGTGAAGTGTAATTATCACCTAGGAGTCTCCCAAAGCCTGGAACCGTTCCACATTTGGACTTAGGTGTTTCTTTGTATCCATCTCCACCCTGGAGACATTCTGGGGCTACAGACCTGGTAAATCAAAATGACAAATTGCTGGACTTTTAGATTCAGACATGGATTAGTTGAAAGGACACTGGACCTGGAGTTGGAAAGACCTGGATTCATATCCTGCCTCAGACACTAGCTGTATGACTCTGGACAGGTCATTTAACCCCCCAGGCACCCAAAAACCTAGATAACTAACCCTGGTCTGTCTATTTGACTTGTCTCTATCTCTGTCTGTTTCTCTCTGTCTGTCTCTGTCTCTCTGTCTCTGTCTCTCTCTCTCTCCCTATTTCTCTCCATCAGTTCTGCATTTATATCTGTAAAATAAGGAAGTTGGACTCAATGATGTGTAAGGTCCCTCCTAGGTCTAAATCTATGACACTATGTGGTAGCGGAAAAAGATGGGGAGTAATTTGGATCCTGGATACTCTATTGTATAATAAGCAGTTTGGGAAGGATTGTGGTGACATCTCCAGACAGAAGGAAGTTGATAGGAGGAGCTACGGTGGGAGAAGAATATGAATTCATTTTGTATGTGTAGAGTTTCATTTCCTAGCACTATCTTATGTAAATGGAGAATTGGAGCTTGAGATAAGCAATTGGGATTGGTTCTATAGGTTTGGGAGTTATCTTCATAGAGGTGATAATTGAAGCTATGATATTTTGAGGCTAGAGAAAAATTACAGGTTCATAGGAAGTTGGGTGAAAAATGACTTGGCAGCACTATTCCTTCTAATAGAGTTAAGCAGTAAATGGATAACCATGCAACACAGGGGAAAAAACTAGGAAGACTGAGCAAATGTGTACAGAGCTTTGGATTGTAGTCAAAACTTAAAACAAATGTAATGTGAGTTCATAACAGAGACCAGGAACTGTCAGTGGTCCTGAACCTGCCAAAGCAGCGTGACTACTGTACATTTGCTGAGAGCTGTCTTTTTGCCCCAGTAGGGCCATTGTTGTATGTTTATCCAGATGAGGCTGGAGGACTTAGAAGCTGGTCAAGATACCACCAGGGGGATGAGAATAGATCTCAGGCTAGCCTTCAAATAGGCTGAAGATCCACCTACCTCTACCAATAGAGGGATCAGCCTGGAGAGGGGAAAGAACCTGTCACAAATGATATAAATAATTGTTATTGTGCCGCATGGTAATTACGAATAAATAGCAAGCAGTTCATGTAAATGACTGTAATTAGCATTACTTTTACACAGCCAAACCAAGCATTTTTGGGATTAGTTTGTGGGAGGGAAGAGGGAACTGTGTTCAACAGGAAGTAACCCTGACTCCTCTGCAAAGCCTGTGTGTGTAAACCAGGCAGATGAGCCTCCCTCTTTCTCTTCTGTGGGAATCTACAGACTGAGTATTGCAGGAGCCGAACCATATTTTTTCCCTTTTCTCTTGTATCTCCTACCAGGGCCACCCATCAGCCTACTCTCTTGACAGAGTGAGAGCCATTAGCCACTGCTCCATCAGCCCCTCCCCTTTTACCTTTCTGCCTTGCCCCTTTCAGGGCTTCCTTGAATTGGCATTCAGCATTCAATGAAGGAGGGCACAATTCCCACAGGAGCAGTGTGGAGGACAGATGGAGATGGGTAGGGAGAGAGATCTTCTGCCATAAGCTAAATACTGATGGCACTTAAGCCAAGTGTACCCTCCCCTATCTCTGATTCCAGTATTATAAGATCTCAACTTCAAGGTCATTCAGTTGAATCTCTTAATTTTATAGATGAGGAAATGCAGGTTCAGAAATTTGAAATGATTTGCCCAAGTTCACATAGATATTATTGGCAGATCTGGTATGCAAACTCAGATCTTTTAACTCCAAACCTAGCACTCTTCCCACTGGAATAATCAGCATATGCATGTTATGATCATGGACCTCCATAGATTAGCATGGCAATATTTGCAAAATTGCATAGTGCTCATAAAACTCCTTTTGTGCCCCATCCCAGGACGTAGAAGGGCAGTAGCTAAAAACCAGTGAATTGTAGGCTGCCCCAAGTGGATTTGCTTCTACTTGGCTCTGGACTGTGTTTGCAGGAGCATGTATTCTAGATGAAGGGGGATAAATTCTGGGTTGAGGTGACCAGGAATTGGTAGGGGTAAAGTGAAGGAAGTTTGGAAGGGGAGGAAAGGATGGGAATTTGGTTAGTGGTGGAAGGAGCAGGTGAATGAAGGAACACTGACAGTAGTTCAGACATGCCCCAAAGCATAGAAGTATAGAAAAGGTGACCCAGAAGGAAGCAGAGCACAATGCTGAGTATAACTTAGAAGTGGTATCCATTCTGCCCTTCTCCATCTGGTGACAATGCCATAGCCAGATAATGTCGCTCCTCATCTGTGCCCAAACAAGAAGGTTGCCCAAGGTTCCATATCCCAGCCATGTACAGGAGGGTTGGCTGAGCAGTCATGCCAAACCCGCCGCACTTCTGGTCAGTGAGGTGTGAAGGGGAGCTGTCTCTACAGTTTGATGGAGAGAAGGGGACTTCATGGGTCATTTGGGTGGTCACAATGACAGATGGGCTGTTGTGTGCATGAGAGAAAAGGGCAGTTAGAAAGGACTGTTGAGTGAGAAAAGGAAATATGCTTACCCACAAACACATATACATACACACCAAGGGACTGGCCACATTGCTGAGAAGCCCCCAGGAGAGGTTATAGGTTCATAGAATTTAGAGCTTAGAAGTCATCTAATCCAACATCCTCACCTGACAAATGAGGAAACTGAAGCCCAGAAAGATTAAGTGATTTGCCCAGGTTCATCTAGCTAGCAAATGGAAAGACCCAGACTAGAATGCAGTATATAAAGGTTTTCCCAAAAGTGGCTCTCACTTCTATGAGACCTCCCTCAAGCTCAGTTGGGATCCCCAGTCACATCTCTATAATTGCTACCACGATGTTTTTTGTCAATGAAGGAATATGTGTATCTGTCTGCAATGGACAAAATTGGTATGTTCTGGATGGAGGGAGAGCATCTCCCATCTAGTCCCTATACCTGCTGTGGGACCTCCAAGCAACACAGACCCCCCAAATCAAAGCATAGCTCTGCACTTCTCTCTGTGTGCCTTAAGGTTCTGGTTCTAACTCTTGGTTGCATATTTTTCTGCTCCAGATCTGCGCAGAATGACAGCTGGCTTCATGGGCATGGCAGTGGCGATCATTCTCTTTGGCTGGATCATCGGGGTGCTGGGCTGCTGCTGGGACCGAGGCCTTATGCAGTATGTGGCAGGGCTTCTCTTCCTCATGGGAGGTAAGGCTTCTTGTTTGCAGGAATGAGGTGCATGTTTTCTCTGTTGATAGTAATCATAGCCCATAGCTATATAAAACACTTTAAAGCTTGCAGAGCACTTTAAATATGTTATCTCATTTGATCCTTACAACTCTAAGGAATAGAGGCTATTACCACCCCCATTTTACAGATGAGGAAACTGAAGCTGAGGAGGTTAAATGACTTGCCCCCTGCCACACAACTAACACATGTCTGAGGGAGGATTTGAAGTTATGTCTTCCTGACTCCAAATTCAGTGCTCTGCTCACACCATCTAGTTGCCTGTAGAATACCTCCATTTGGGAGAAATCTTTAGGTCTCCATTAGCTTGACTCCTGGAAATATAACTGGATATCATGTTGAATATTATGACCTGAATCAAACCTTTCTCCAGATATAATTTATCCTTTGCGTTAAGGTAGGCCTCCTATAACCAAGAGCCAGAGAAAGCCTTTTGACCCCCTTTTTCCTTCATATTTGCTCTGTCATAGTTGGCTAAGTAGAGGTAGGACTTAGGGACAATAGCCCAGCCCTAGTCGATATTCTTAATAGATGTGTGAAAGCTGGGGCTTAACTATGTTGGTGCAGGAAATACAGCTGAACAAGGTCTACTTGGGGACCAGGACAGAATCTTTTTCCTAACTATGCATGGTTGAGTTTCTGTAGAACTCTATTTCATCTAAGAACTATTGTACAGGGACTTCTGTGGCAGACCTGCAGGGCTCTTACTGTTCCTTCAGGTCCCAGGGAGGCCAGGTGAAACTTCTACCAGGAGGGTGAGGTGAGGGTAGGGGGACTTTACATGGGGTCCAAGTCCCAAGTTACGTCACAGGGTGGAAGCATTCAAGGGGGAAGGTGAGGAGTACCTTCTGCTCATACAACCCTTGTTATCCACCATGGCTATATCTTTATCCCCATCTTCTCAGTTCTTCTAACAGCTTCATTACAATTCTACTATAAACCAGGCTATATAGCTCTTGAATCTTGCTCTATGTCCAACTCTCTGAGGGATCCTCCCAAGGGCCTATGGCATCAGGGACAGTCTGATAGTGAGCCCAGGTTTTCATCTTTTAATAATGTTTCTCATGGAATAATGAAATCCCCAAAATGAATTCTGAGCTCTCCCCAAACCACCTCAATGTTCCTGTGCTCAGGTCAAACCAGAGATACAATCTCATACAACCTCCTTCAATAGCTCAAGTGACAATAACAACTCACCTTGGTAGCGTGCTTTGTAGTTTCAAAGTCCTTTCATGTACATGGTCTCATTTCAAGTATACATTTAGAGCCAGATGACAGAGGTCATCTGGTCCAGACTTCTCATTTTATAGATTAAAAAAAAGAAAACAGGGACTCAGAGAACGTCTATGGTTTTGCCCAGCTGGCAGAGCTAGGTTTTGAACATAGATCTTCTGAGCCCAAATTTAGCACTTCTCTTTACTACATACAAATTATTATCCACATTTCCCAAGTAAGGAAGCAGAGATCTAGAGAAGCGAGTGACTTTCCCAGGACTGCACAGTGGGTAAGTGAAAGATCAGGAGTTTGAACCTTAGATCATAAGATCATAGATTTAGAACTGGTAAGGACCTGACAGGTCATCAATGTACACCCCCTTCATTTTACAGAGAAGGAAACTGAGGCCCAGAAAAGGGAAATGATTTGCCAAAAGTCACAGGAGTTTTAGCTGAGATTTAGACTAAGTGGACCCCAAATCCAAGAGTCTTCCCACTATATACTCAAACCTATAAACACTTATATGGTCATTTCCAAGTTGCTGTCCCATCCATGTATGATTAGATACAGGGGTGATAATTTCTTCCTTGTCTCTAGAGGGATTGCATCCAGATAAAATGAGATAATAAATCTGAAAGTGCTAGGTAAATATGTTTATTAATTATACACTTAAATGAAGAGATCTAGTGCTTAGTATATTGCTGATTAAGCACATAGTGGGTGCTTAACAAATGTCTGTTGACTACTCATGTTGGCCAGAGAAACAATTAGGTTTTAAAGTTTAAAGTCACCAGCACTGAAAGCATAGGCCTATAAAAATTCTAAATGCTTTATACTTATAGCTCTATCCCCACTGTCTAACATCACCAAGCTAACCATCAATCAACATTTAAGTGCCTTCTGTTTGCCCAGCATTGTAAAGCTACTAGGTATAAAAATGCAAAAATGAGAATCCTTGCTTTCCAAAGAGCTTACATTCAACTAAGGGGATGCCACCTGTACTGAAATAAGTAAATTCAGAATATATACAACTAATATATAATGACTGAAAACTAACAAGGGGGTAATCAAGAAAGGCCTCTTGAAGGAGGTATCACTTCAGCTAAGCCTTGAGTGAACATACATAAGGCAGAGGTGAGAAGGGAGAGCATTTATTATTTATAATACCAAATAAATGTTGGTAAGTACATGAGAGCTACAAATAAAGTACTATGTGAATTCAAAGGAAGAAAGCCCAATTTGGGGGCAAACTCTCTAGCCCAAGAGGGTCCCATCTAGCTCACATTTTTCCCATCCAACCTATAGTCAACCATCAACTTTTCCTCAGATCCTGTGATAGAGGGAGCTACTACCAGCAAAAGGGATTAGGTTGATGAATGAGGTAAACAATTGGAATGAGTCACAGCCAATGGGGGAACCAGAATGCATCCCACCATCTATTTGTACTGTTCCTCTTCTCTTCCTGCCATACCGAACTCTGCTTTTTGGCTCTCAGAGTTGGATGAAATTCAGAAACTGAAGTGAATGAATGAATGTGTTATACCCATCACCATGGAGCCCTCTACAAAAGACAAAGACAGAGGCACTATCCAGTTAAGGTGTGAGTGGAGCTTGAAACAAAGAAAAGAGAAAAGGATAGTATTGGAAATGTTTTTGGAAAACAAGAGCCAGTGAGTCTTGGATGTGGAGATAGGTATTAGACCCTATGTCAGCTGGATTAAGAGTTGGTTCCCTGTGATACCAGATGTATAAAACACAGATTCTTCATACATCCAAGCTGCCCTGCTCAGGCTTGGGGGCCTCAGGAAAAGAATGGCTTAGCCCCTTAAGGTACATGGCAAAAGTGTCTCTTGGGGGCAGTAGATTACACCTGGGATTGTATTCTATAAAATGGATCTTGAAGAATTGAACTTGAACTCTTCTTTCAGTGTCTTCTTTCCCAGACCAGATTTTTTAATAGAATTTAAGCTAACACCACGGAAGCAAAGCTGTTTTGGATAGCACCCAAGGGTGACACTAGAGAGTATCCAACCCAACCAGAGTCAGACCTATCTCTAGCTCTAGAAACTCCCTTTTATCCAGACTGGAGGTATCTATCTTCTTTTTTGGGTAGCTAGGTGGTGCAGTGGATAGAGCACCAGGCCTAGAGTCAGAAACACCTGAGTTCAAATCTGGTCTCAGACGCTTACTAGCTATGTCACCCTGGGCAAATTACTTCACCCTGTTTGCCTCAGTTTCCTCATCTGTAAAATGAGCTGGAGAAGGAAATGGCAAACCACTCCAGGATCTTTGCCAAGAAAACTCTAAATGTGGTCATGAAGAGTTGGACACCACTGAAATGACTGAACAAAAACAAAATCTTATTGAGCCTGGTGACCATCCCATGTTATTTGACATACAAATTGTTTATCCATGACCTGCAGGATTCCCACCACGTTAGGGGTGATTACTGAGCTAGCCTTTCTTTGACTGAGTCCCTACCCAATCACATGACCTTGCTGATACAAGGGTGAAATAATCAACTGGGGACAGTTAGCCCTAAAATAAAGAAGAAATACAGACAATACTAGGACACACTGTACTTTGTGTTCTTCTGATAGCTGTAGGATCTTTGATTTAGAACTGGAAGGGATTTTATTGTTCATCCACTCAAGTCCTCTAACTTTACAGAAAAGGAAACTGAAGCCTAGAAAGATTAGATAATTGCCCAAGGTCATTCAGGTAAGATGGGATACAAGCAGGATTTGAACCCCAGTCCACTGATTGATAATTCACCCCTCTTTCCACTCTAACCTGCTGGTGTCATATTCTTATTTGGATCTTATTGTTTCTATTGGCAATATGGTAGAATGGAAATAACAATAGACTTGGAGTTAGAAAGCCTGGGTTGAAACCTTTACACTTTCACTTACTACATGTGTAAACATTGGCAATTTTGTTTGGCTAACCAGTGGATAGATGCTGAGCCTGGAGTTAGTAAGATCTGAGTTCAGATCTTGCCTCAGACACTTACTAGCTGTGTAACCCTAGGCAAATCACTCAAACCTCTGTTTGACTCAGTTTCTTCAACTGTAAAATAGGAATAATAATAGCATCTACCTCCCAGGGTTGTTGTGAGGAACAAATGAGGCCCTGTTTATAAAGTTCTTAGCACAGTGCCTAGCATATGATGGATGCCAAATAAATGCTTGTCTCCTTCCTCCCTTTCTGAGGCTCAGTTTTCCAGTCTGTAAAATAGAGATCATAATATTAGAACTACTTTTTTTCTTATCATGCTATGCCTTTCTCAGCTCAGCATTTCTTACCCCCAAGTTCTCTCTTGAGTTCCAAATACGGATTTTCAACTGTCTCCAAAGTGGGGTTAGTAGTCTATGTCTTCAACTAATTAAAAAGTGGGAAGATGGATCATACTCCACCCTTCCTGCAATAGCCAGTGGTAGGATTTGTCTCCAACACAGCCTGGGTTCAAATCCCTCAGAAACTTAGTCATTATGTGACCCTGGGCAAGTCACTTAACTAGTCATCAGTTTCCTCAACTGTAAAATAAGAGAGTTGAACTCAATGATTTTTAAGATCCCTTCCAGCTCTCAATCTATGTATCTGTGATTCAACCACACCCTGTCACCCAATACTCCCTCTTTCTTCTCTCTTCTTCTGTTATGTAAATTCTTGACCTTGACCTTCTAAATTGTGTTTTGTCCCCTCAGAGCAATTATAACCTAACTACTCCCCAGGTACCCACAGAA